GGACACTGAACAGCTGTTTCGTCCTAGTATAGAACTTCCCTAGCAGTGCGAACCTATGTCCTTGCCAGGCACCGATCGCAGGACCTTCAAGTTCCGCGACCAGGACGTTACAGTCGAGGCACTGGGTTGGAATCCAGTGCTCCATATTTCCTACTTCTGACCGGTAGGGTCAACTAAGTCGGACATGAGGGCAGTTACTCAGCGACAGCGTTAAGTGGATGTTGCGCTATTACGGGAACTAGCAGAAGTAGGAAATATAGACCATTGCATTCTGACTCAGTAGTTTGATGGTAACATGCTGACCGCGTAACCTGAAGTTCTTGGTTTCGTTCCTTGACGAGGTCATGGATGCACACTGCTTTAAACTCCTATAGTAAGAGGAAATGGACGTCCAGTGTTCCCAGGTTTCCAATGTTTCTGCAACTGATGTTAGTCCATGATGAATACCAGCCTGAAACCAAGAAATAATAAACTAAGAATAAAACTATATATATATATATCACCTGATATGAATATATGGGCAGTAAATTATTTGCGGAACGTTATGCTGTAAATAAAACTGCTTTACTATGTGACGTTTGTTATACTTAGCTTAAAGTGGCATGGCCTTACTGAAGTAAGTAGTTCGTGTATGTCCTTTGCGAAAAAACTATAATCCATTGGACAAAGAGTGAAATAAATTGAAGTTAGACGTTAACTTTTCCTGATGCTCAAGTAAATGACAGGTGGTACAAATTTCTTCTGAATACAAAGATTCGGTAAAACTGGAAAATGTACTTCTTGAAGAAACAATTAGTCATCTGAAAACTTATGGCCGTTATATAAATGATATGTATATATTTCTCCGAAATGATAGGAATACTGCTCTCGATAAATGTGATGACTATCATCCAACTATCATTTTCACAATAGAAGATGAGCGAAATGACTGCATGTCCTTTCTAGATGTCTTATTATTACAAAGGCCAGATGCATAGGGTATATAGAGGAAGTCAACATCGACTGTCCAACGCACTCACTTTTATAGCTCTGTACCCCCGAGATATGAATGTAACCTGGTTAAGTACTTGGTTCTTCTTTTAAGAGTCATTTGCTCTGATGATACTTTAAAATAGGAACTTCACATAACTCGCAACCTGATTGGTAAAATTGGATATCCTACCAGATTTGTGACTAAGCACTTGAAGGAAAGAAATCTAAACCAATCGTGATTACAGTCTCTAAGACACTTGTTTTTTTGAAAATTGAACTAAAAAGCAATATCATAAGCGAGATTATAACACAATATTTGGGAAGAGCTTTTTTGAGAATTTTCAGTGCTTCGGGATTGTCTTATATTCTACAGTCCGTCAATTATGTGTGCAGGGTATAAACTTGATTTTGTCTGTTCTGTTTGCATTTATCAGTTGAACTTACATAAAGCGTACAGTTAGACAATTCCATTGTAGAATACCTAAACACCATCCTATACGGCTGAGTAAAGGACAATTAAAAACTCAAAACTTGCGCATTTGGTCGATGCTGGTTATCAAGTGAGGATTTTACAGTCATTTGCTGCTTACCATCTGATCTTGTGTCTAGTCTACCTATTTGCTTGTTACACACGACAGTAGCTATTGCCATGCACCTCTACAAACAGAATCTCTGTAATCAGAAGAAATATGTACAACCTCTTTCATTACTTTGGTTATCAGCGTATATTAACGTCTAACTTGAATTTACTTTATTTTTTACCGAATGGACTAGGGTTTGTTGGCAGAGAACTCTCCCACCTCTTCAATCGATATCACCTGTTTCCCTAATTTTCAGTCTCCCTATTATTATGTAATTCTGCTAACATGTATCCACTCACCCCAAGTTTTTAAACTTTCATGTTTGTTGTAATGCCATCAGTGAATTAACAACTCGTTTTACTTTATGTGACACTTCTGTTAATCTTATTGAATTAGCGTATTCATCGATTTGCATCTTCATTTCTCTAATTGTTAGCCTAATGAGTAACTATCAATTTATAATTATTTTAGATAATTAACCCAAGACCATTAAATGGTATTATGTTAATAAATGTAAAACTTATATGTTGTTGTATAGTCGATGACGAAGACCTAATTGAAAAGAAATATTTCTTCACTTATTAATAATCATAATAATTTCTTTATCATGTAAGATATTTCTAGAATATTGTACAGAATTTTCAGCATTTAATATAACTGTTTTTTTTGTTTTAAATAAATCTAATTCTAATCTTTCTTGGTCAACATACTATCTGAAAATAAGACAGCTTTTATTATTCCACATCTGCGTTCATACTTCTAGTTTTCTTTCGCCGAACTGAACTGATTCACAATAGTGAAAATAAAGCCAAGTTTTACGATGTACTCCTACGCTCCATTCATTTATATCCTATTATTTATTTTCGTCATTCACTGAATGTGAGCAGCAGACGTGAATTCTTATGACATAAATATTCATTATTGTTGACAGCTTTAAAAATGTATCAGCCTGCATGCAAATGTATATGTATGTGCTCGGTAGTTAACCCACTGAATTTAGTATGGATTCGATGTTTCTTAAGTAATTAAAGTCTATGAAAGGAAACAAGGTATGTTTTTACTCTATGAAAGATAAACTGGTGTAATTTTCTTTAGTTGATGTTGATTTTGTGGATGATTTTCGGTTTGTCTTCTTTGGTTGTTCCGTCCTTTGATTTGCATAATAGTGTTTACAGGGAATTTGTTGGTTTATGAGCCACACCAATTCTAAGCGGTCTCAGTAATCTTGTCGTGATTTCTGATATATCCTTTATGTCTGGTAGGATGATGTGCTTATTGATTTCTGCTGGTGGCTTTGTAGCTGATGATGTACGGGATAGGCATCTCCTGCTAAAGTTTCGTGGGTAGCCGTTCTTTTCTAGGGTGAACACCAAGTAATTTTTTTTGTTCCTCCGTGAAGTTGTTGTACTACAGTATGTTCTCGCTCTTTTGAATAGTCTACACGCAACTGATTTTGTGTGTTGTTAGGTTGTTGCTACTGTAGTTGAGGATTTGGTCAGTGTATGTTGGCTTTCTGTACACTTGGGTTTCCAGCTTTCCGGCATTTGTCCTACTGACTACAACATCCAGGAATGGTAGTTGGTTTTAGACTATCGAAGACAGTATCTTCTAAATGTACTTGGATGTCGTTGACTTTCGAGACGGACTAAATTCCCCGAAAAAGGTATAGAAAAGGTACTACCAGTTGTGGTATTTGAGCATTAAATACGAGAAATAAATAGAGAAAATGTAGACACTGGCAGCTGCTTCAAATATCCAAAATATGCAAGTGATTGTTATTTCCTGTCCTCACTTTTAAAGACATCCTTTCAACATATTCGTAACAGGGCAACGATGTTAAATATCTAAGTGACAGCTCACTTCATTTTTGTAAGATTTAGGTAAACAGACGGTAATACTGGAGAAGAAGAGGCATATGTGGCACACCGTTCCTTCCTATATATCGTAGATATTGTTGATTTATCCAATTTTAAATTATGATTGACATTTGTCGAAGACTTATGGTGATAATATTCGCATCCTGAGGAGTCTGTTTGTCTATCCTAAAATCTTATTGCTGCTGTGATTTTCTGGAGCAAAATGAGGTGGGCGGTTTTTCAATAGCGACGTTTTCCAACACGTCATGTAACATATTGGTCACCAGACAGACAACCTAACTGATTTCTATAATGAACCATGCTAGGACTAAGTAATTTATAACCTTGAGCTGTGTTTAATGTGTGTTCTCATTCAGCTAACTAACTAACTTCATCCAGTGGATACCTATCATTACCATTTTATCTATGTACGTAATCTGAATATCGTTCGGGCCTCTTACATGTCAGTTAGTAAATCTGCATAGGCTTATTTTAGATGATTAAAGAATTTGAATTGATTAACTGGGTAAAAGACAGCACTCAAGCTTCAGACACGAATTTCATTGCTGTGCTGTTTCTGACGAGTCTCATGAAGGACGAAACTGTGCATCCTGGACTCCACTGCCACGTATCACCAAACAAACTACTCCATAATGAATCTTCAGGCAACATCGGAGCGTCGTCATAGGAGCTCATATGCTGGCAAATATCGACCAGTTCGGTCTGGTAAAGCAACTGGTGTTCATAAGTGCCAACAAATGATAGTTAGTGAACTTGGTTTCATTATTCTGTGATTAATTCTACTTGGCTAGTGTTGCACTCACCATACGGCGGTTAAGTAAGAACTTCAAATAAGCATGGATGCCATTTCAACGTCACACATTTCAGTTGACTTTGGTTTGATAGTCGATCGTAACTCCCTGTTATTGATGTTTTTATCTTGAGTTATTTTATCTTTTTTGTTCTTACTGATGAGAGGCCTTGTTATCTCGCCAATATATCATATGTTTTGAAATATCAGGAATAAAAAACTTAAGGAATGAACATGTTTCGCTCAACCATTATCTAGTCATACTTTACTAAAATTAAAATGAATTCAAGTTCCTGTTCGCAAAAATATATCGGCTATTTATTTCAATTGTAAACCATTTGTGGTTCAAATTCTGGGTACCTTGGTTCCAAGTAATGGATTCGAGCTTAAAAATCAGTCACTGATAGTTTTATTGGGGAATGTTCTTAAGAACTTCATGGAAGCGATCCATCCAAAGCCAAGAAATTAGCTGATGACTCTTTAGATTAACACCTTATCGGTATCTAGGATTCCAGGAGTGGCAAAATTGAATACTCCTTAACCATTACCCTCTTGATAACTGTCGAATTTTTCTCCACAAAAAGATTAACTTCACGTCATACATTAAAGATAAGAATTCCCAATGTAAATACATCGAGTCAAGGCTTTTTGTTGATACATCCTTTCCTCTCTTCGCTTTCTTTTGTTTCCATTCTCTCGCTTGTTTGCTTTATATATATATATATATATATATATATATATATATATATATACTTTCCAACTGTATTTGTTAACTTACAGGCACAATTTGTATACCCAGCGTTGATGCCTCGTTAAATTCCAATTCCAAATCATTTCGATTTTCAACTAGTAATATCTTTCCAACATTTACCACGCCACAGTCAACTATCGATACAAGTTCTCCGGAACAGATGAAGGTAAGACGCTTACGCTTATCACAAATGAATCTATTCGCTTCTGGTCGAGGCAGTGGTGCACCAGTACCTATTCGTATTGGCGAACATCGGTTAGACCGTAAAATCAACAATCATCATTGTGTTCCTGGTTTCGTAAGTTTATATATTTTAGTTACTGTATTCATTAAGTTTTATTTTTTTAGTTATTATAATATAGTATCCATCTTCAATCGCTCAATTCATAATGATCATGTTGTTGTCTTTAGTTCTGAATAAATTCTGATTATCAGGTAAGCTAATTTATAACTTGATGCCTCACTACAGGTTTATTGATCACTCGACGCATAAATTTCGTTAACGCTACAGACTAACTTCATTGTTATGACTGCGGTTGTGAGGCTTCATTCCACAAGTCTTCTCGATAATTGATTCTATCCAACAGCTAAATCCTCATTTGCTTTTAAAATTTCCAGTCGGCATTTTAGAGAAAACATTTTTTAAGATAAACTTTTTTTCTTGTTTATAATATGCCAATGATCGTTATGTCGAGCATGGTAATTGTTGGTATTCTCAAGTGGCTTTGAAGGCCCCCTAGCAACGACTGTAATCATCAATCAGGTCCCGACCGATGACTCCTACCATGACATGGTGGTCGGGCTTGCATATAACAATGACCCAACGAGCTATGCTGGTGGAACGCTTGTTCCCTCGAGGTCCTACCATACCAGAAAGGTCTGTTGGATAGTGGTTAGACGAAAAGCAGTTACCGTTATAGTGTAAATTGCTACACTATGATGGGGGTCTGAGGGCGAAGTCGTACTGCTGCTAGCTGGATGGCGTGTGACAGCAGTAAGGTGTTTCACTTGGATGACCAGCAGTGCATGCTGATGCTGCCTTCTCAATGGAAGGGGGGTTAGAAAAGGTTGGCCCCAAAAATAACACACTCCATCATCATACCCCACGGTCTGCTGGGCCGGCGGTGTTGGTTTACTTCTGACTGCTATCCACCTCCTCCATCATTACCTTCTAATCTTCCTTCACGTCTCTTAATTAATGATGCTGCATCATCTTCAATTTCTCCTACCTCTGCAGCCTTCGACAACGATCTGAGTCCACAGAACAGCATCCCTGGTCTCCTTAAACCACGCTCCAAATTACATATTGGAGCCTTCAATGTCCGCACCCTCCGTCAAATTGGCCAACAGGCTTCGTTGGCAAAGACTCTAGCAACTCGGGCATGGATGTGTGCTGTGTTTGTGAGACACGCATACAGGACCCAAGTGTGGTTATTCACCTGACCTCTCCTGACCAATCTGGTGAATCTGCAAAATTCACCCTTCGAGTTTCTGGAGATTCGATAGCTAGCTCTCGTGGTCTTGCAGGTGTAGGTATAGCATTAAGCACCAGGGCAGAAAACTCACTACTAGACTGGATCCCAGTTGATAGTCGCCTCTGCGCTATGAGGCTGAACGGCACAGTGAGAACTAAAAGGAATAGTGAGACTCGCCGTTGTCTCTTTGTAATCTCTGCTTACGCACCCACTGACTGTAGTTCGGATGAAGTGAAGGACGAGTTCTACCATAAACTGTCTAACCTCCTCTCGAAAGCCAAACGTTCGGACGTAGTGGTTGTTGCAGGTGACCTCAACGCACAGGTGGGTAGACTGAGTGAGGCAGAAAGGCACTTAGGTGGCACTTTCGGAATCCCAGCTGAACGTACAGATAACGGTGATCGCCTATTACAACTATGCTCAGATAACCGCCTATTTTTAGCCAGCACAAATTTCAGACATAAAGAAAGGCACTGTCTGACCTGGCGTCCACCGAGCTCGACTCAGCGATGGACACAGATAGACCACATTGCTATTAGTCATCGCTGGAGAGGATCGGTGGAAGACTGCCGCTCCTTCTGGAGTACGTGTTTGGACAGCGATCATGCGTTGGTCCGAGCACGTATATGCCTGCGTCTCAATGGACGTAGAAAAAATTTGGCAACAAAACCACTACGAGTTCTGCTGGACAACGAAAACACCAAAGCCGTGTTCAGTGAGAAGTTGGCTAGGCAGTTATCGGAACAAAAGACTGTCACTCATCCAGAAGAAGCTTGGTGCCATCTTCAGTCTACTGTAAAAGCAGCACTGGAGACTGTAGCCGACTCCAAGATAATGGCTAAAAAGAGCCAGTGGATATCAGCAGCTTCTTCCAAACTAATGGATGCACGTGAATGCATCCCTGCAGGCTCTGAGTACAATGAAGAGCGAGCGCAACTTAAAAATAAACTGACGAAAAGTCTGCGCAACGATCGTGAACAGTGGTGGGCAGCAAAGGCTAAAGAGATGGAAAAGGCAGCGGCGATCGGTAACAGTAGACAGTTATTTAGACTTATTAAGGAGACTGGGGGGAAATGGTCAACAACAGTTAGTGAGGTTATAGCGGAGAAGGACGGATCTGCGATTCACTCGCAGGGAAGGCGACTGGGACGATGGGCAGAACACTTTGAGGAACAGTTTAACTGGCCTCCAGCCACCATTGCGCTGCCCGCTATCCAGTCGGACCCTGAATGGGACATAGAGACAGGTCCCCCAACACTAGAAGAAGTTGAGAAAGCGGTAGGTAGCCTGAAACGGGAAGGGCAGCAGGACCAGACGGACTACCTGCTGAGGTATACAAGAATGGTGGTAGAGTTCTCTTAGTCAGGCTAACGGAAGTGTTAGCCAGTATATGGGAATCAAATACGATCCCCTCCGACTGGTCTAAGTCACTGATCATCCCAGTCTTCAAGAAAGGCGAGAAGTCCTCTTGTGATAACCACAGAGGAATCAGCCTGACAAACATAGTGTCTAAGATCCTAAGTTCTATAATTCTCCGACGCCTGAGTGGAGCTCGGGAACAGCAAGCCCGAGAAAACCAGGCAGGCTTTAGACCTGGCCGTGGATGTATCGACCAAATATTCACACTGCGCCAGGTCCTGGAACATAGGCATGCTTACAGACGCCCGACAATAGCTGTATTTCTCGACCTGAAGGCGGCATTTGACTCCGTTGATCGAGAAGTCTTATGGCAGTGTCTGTCACTGAAAGGCGTGCCTAGTAAGTACATCACCTTATTGAAAGCTCTCTACTCGAACACTTGTGGGCATGTTAGAGCCTATGGTGAGTTGTCCAGGGAGCTATACTCATCAAGTGGTGTCCGTCAAGGATGCCCACTATCCCCATTCTTATTTAATTTTATCATAGATATTCTTATGGAGGTTTCCCTCTCGTCACCTAATTACAAAGACGTTGACCCGATCACAGGTGAATTTTCTTTAGATCTAGAATATGCAGATGACATAGTCCTGTTAGGTGAAGACGCTGACAAGATGCAGAGTCTTCTGAACACTTTGAGTGGGAATTTGAGAATGTTTGGGATGCGATTTTCACCACCCAAATGCAAATTTTTGCTCCAGGACTGGTCTTCAGCGGTACCGCGGTTAACAATAGAGAGTGAAGTGGTTGAGTGTGTTGACCACTTCACTTACCTGGGAAGTAGGATCAACCTGGTGGGTTAGTTGCCGATGAGATTTCTGCACGGATACAAAAGGCTCGATTGGCTTTTGCCAATTTGCGCCACCTATGGCGCCGCCGTGATATTCGTTTGTCTATTAAGGGTCGCGTGTACTGCACAGCAGTCCGCTCTGTTCTACTGTATGGCTGTGAAACATGGCCATTGAAAGTGGAAGACATGAGAAAGCTTCAGGTGTTTGACCACCGTTGCCTTCGTAGTATAGGACGTATTCCGTGGTGTCACCATGTGAGTAATGCAGAAGTTAGGTGTAGAGTTTTGGGGAGAAGAGGTAAGTCAGTTGACGAGGTTGTGAACCTTCATCGACTGAGATGGTTGGGACACGTACTACGTATGCCTAGTCACCGATTGCCTCGTCACACAATGTTGGCTGAGGTGGGTTCAGGCTGGAAAAAGGCCCGAGGTGGCCAGACTAAAACATGGCACCAATGTATGAAGTCTCTGACTGTTGGTTTAAGCCATGTAGGACGATGCAGACTAGGTGGTTGGGGTCCACGGGACAAGAGGAACCAGTGGTTGGAGACCCTAGGTGATATGGCTCAGAACCGAAGTCAGTGGCGCAGATGTATACACACATTATCCTCATCTTAACAACGCTATACCGAATCTCACTATTTTGTCACTCCTCTTTCCTTTCTTCTCGTACTTTATATTTCTTTTGACTGCATTCACTTATCTTCATCCTTCACCTCACTACCTTTTTACTTGATGTGCTGATATGAGGTGTGGCAACTCGGACCGTTACGCAGTAATTCCTGGTTCTTTATGGATTTTGGTGATGATGATGACAATCTGTCAGTCCTGTTTATAGCGACTGATTAAGTATTTTTACATAAAATGACGAACTCTAATTAGGTACGTTAGTTTTTCTGGTGGCTGTTAGAGTCACTCGTGTTCTCTGAGATTAGTGAAGTGATTGCGGACAAATTAGCTGGCCATGGGTTGAGACGTTCACGTTAAGATATTAGGACTTGTAACAACAAGCTGTTTTCGCGTCTCACCTAAGCTAGATATTTTTTATATTATTTCAATGTTAGTATATTGTTTCACGCGTTAAACGTGATAGAAGTTTGCAAAGGTTACCACTTCTTTTTCAAAACTGTTGGAACTGAAAATATGAACTCACAGCTGTTTGTAAACAATGAATTCGTAAAGTAGGCTGTGAGTGATTCCGTATATCGTCGAAAAGAAAGCACCTATATGGTCAGTGTTTTACGGAAAACTGAAAATTGTTCACCGATATTTAGTATCAAGAAGTAGTAATTTTTTTCACTTCTCAGGGAAAATGTAATAGTAATTGTCTTGTAAGTTTTCAGTCTAATACCTTCCTACTACTTGGTGGACAATGTTTAATATAGTCGGAATTCTAATGAAATATTGACTACTTAAAATTTATGTTTGGCCCATTTATTTGGCTTTCAAATCTAACCCAATGCCTAAGTAACTTTTAGTGTAGTTTAACTGGTTAAAAACGTGGCCATAACTGTTTATCAACTGCACTTAGTTTGGCTTGTAGCTGCCTATGTGTAAAGCGAATTATGTGGAAAATTCCGATGTAGAAATGCTCATATTCAAAAAGTGGAATTCAAT